TGGGAACAGGGTGACGGCCGGTGACCAGCCACGTCTCGCTGGCCAGCTCCACGATCTGCATGGTTCGGGCGACCATCTTCTCCTTGTCCTCCACAAATGGGGCAGGGACGTCAGCCTCAGGCTGGAACAGCCGAAAACTGCAAGAGCAAAGAGCACAGCGTTAGCAGGAGGGCAGAGGGAAGGCTCACCATGCAGCGCCGCAGCAATCCAGCTCAATGAGGGAGATGGCTGCAGTAAGACAACACACCCTGCTCCTGTGGTGGGCTTCTGCTCAGGTTACCTAGCGAAGTGCCTCGCTGCCCTCTCCAAACTGAGGAGAAAGGGGCAGGAAGAGAAGAATCACAGCCCATACTGTGACGAGGGAGGCAAAAAAGCCATCCCAGTTTGTAAAAGCACACAGGTGGGCCATTCCCCCCAGTCATCAGCAAATACCAGTCCTGCTGACGTCCACCTCCGGGCTACTCTGTTGTATTACGATCGCTGGCTGGAGCAAGAACTCAATGAAGTTTGTCATTCAAGGGACAACAGAGTGCACTCCCACTCATGAATTTTAGATGCTGCTGCAGCAGTACCACCATCCGGCCGAACAGGCTCCCGGTAGATATGCTCCCCCACAGCAGAGAGGGCTGCGTGCTGTCCAAAGGAATGCTTTTCCAGAGGATGTGGTTTTGCCTGAGAGCACTCAGCAACAACATGGTGGTGTAACAGCACAGGTCACCCTGTGTGTGCTTGGGGACTTCTGCCCTGGCCACAGCCGTGTTTCGGAAGCTTCTCCTCCCATGGTGTCAAACGCAGGACTCTGAAATGGCTGAAAGGGGCCCCGTTACCTGTTCAGGTGTGTCTTCACCAGATCTGCCAGGCTCAGGGCCGGCACAGAGAGCCCGAGCTCTTTCTGAAGACTCAGGTAGACGCTGGCAAACAGCTCCTGCTTCGCATACAGGAGGGAGCAGATTGTCCCCATCGTCACGGGCCAGTTGTGCTGTCGACAAGTCACGAAGACGCAGCAGCCCCCCAGAAGTTCCTTCTTCTCCAGACTGACCAGGTGGAAGGAGGGGTGCTGCACAGCTCTCTGGAAGTATGACACCGCCGTTTCCTCAAACACCCTCGGGAGCTGGAGGACTTTACAGAGGTCCTGGACCCGCCTGATCCCTGTGAGAAGACACCACCCTTAAAGATCAGCTCAAGCAGCTTCTGATACACAGCTCTCCTCAATAGCACAGCCCGCATTCACCCTGCCCCAGGAAAAGGTGCGAGGGCAGCCCTGCTCCTGCAGCTGGCGTGCAAAGATCTCCCACGTCCCTCAGTGCAGATGAGGCAGCTTGCTGAAGGCAGTTCTGCATCCAGCCGGTGCCTAACGGCCGCCTTCATGCTTTACTGCCAGCTCTGAAGGCTTTTACCGTTTTAGAGAACATTAGAAACATGTAAAACAAACTACAGAGTAGCAGCAAGAGAGAATCGGGGTGTGAAGGAAACCAAACAGCAAGCTCTTACCTCGCTGCAGGCAGCGGCTCAGCTGCTCTTTCTGGCCAGTGCTCTGGGAATACGCCACCTCTGAAAAACAGCCAGTGTTAGGCCAGATAGTCTGGCAGTGACTCTGGGGGATGGTGTCATTTCGATTTTGGGCAACCAGATGCCCATGGTACTGGATTTCAATTATCAGAATTGACAGGTCTTTGAGGCCACTAAACTAGAGCTGGCAGCACAGGTTAAGTGACAGTGAGGAGCGGGATCCCTTCACGCCATCGCTTGTCCACAAACAGGACCAGCAAACGGACTCAGGGCTACTCCACTACACTTATAAGAGATTTAAATGACAAAAAGCAGCACACGAAAACTTCCAAGCCTAAAACCCAGTAGAGAAGTGCTGTGAGTCCGACTCTATCATGGATAAACCATGCTGGGCTCTCGCTGGGGAGGAGCAGCACTCGGCCTTCCCTCCACACAGGGGCCCAGAGACCGCAGCCGGGCAGGGTGCGGGAGGCCAACGGCCCCTGGGCTGGCGAGAACGGCTGCTTGGGGAGCGCTTCGTTGCTCAGACCAACTCAGAAGTGCTAAAACAACCGTTTCACCGAGAGTTTTGCACCAGGCCGAAGGCAAAGGCCCCCGGGACGCTCGACACCCCCC